GTGAAGGAAGTTATTCTCATTAAAGTGAAGGAAGTTATTCTCATTAAGTTTATGTCGTAACGAAGACGTGGCTCATATATGCGTCAGGTTGCTATTTTTTTTTTGCAACAAACTGGTATTTTGGGGGCTAATTCATTCCAGACAAATTTTGGGGGGACAATTTGTTGATTGGTTTTTGAAGGGCGCATTCAAGTGAGCCACCCAGTCTTGCTGAGGAATTTCAGGGTAAGGAATGAATGAATTTTCAGAGAAAAATGCTCACATTGTGTCCCAAACCTGAATAACGAATCGGTTCCTGGACATGCTGAAAAAGGAGTTCTTGCAAGGAAATTCGGTCTAGGCGAGGAGTTTTCAAACTGTGTGTTGTGATCCCCCCAAGGAGTAGAAAGCAGATTTGAGGTAGGGGTCTTGAACCATATCACACTATGGCTGAAAATGCTGGGGATCTGGACAGAACAAGAGGGATCTAGCAGGGATCCAGCATTTCACTGGACTGGGTTGGGATCACAAATTTAGGTTTCCAAGAATGATGGAGAACTTAAATGCCCTTCATACTACACATTTTACCACTCGACTCTTTTTAGCATGGTAGAAAAAAAAATTGCAGATAGATGCACCTTTTTTACTTTTAAAAAGCTGAGGCTATATGTAGTTTATAGTACTATATATACAGCATATATACAGTATATGTAATAATATATACAAGCCATTTCTATAAATACAAAACTAAATCTAACCATCAAAATCCAAATTCAGAGATTCATTTTTTTCCACCTCAAGCACTAAGTCCAGAAGTGGTTTCCAAGCAGAAACAAAGTTAAACGTGTCTTTTTTTCTTTGATTAAGGCAGACAATTTTGCCATCTCTGCTGATTCCAGTCAGTCATCCATTTGGAGACACCTTCCTCCTTTCTCATACTAGTTTTATCTGCTCATCTTGCTTTTAGAGAACATCTAGAGATGAAAATTCCTAATTCACCTCCCATTCTTCTGTATTTGCAATATATGGTACAGACACACAATCCCAAGGGAGGGAAAAACTTTCCATGAGATGGTTCTTGTGTTTTCTCTCTTATTTTTTTTTCTCTCTCTCTCTCTCTTTCTCTTTTGCTTGAAATTGATTTTGGATTTCTTCCAATTTAGGCTCATTCCACCTTTGAATCAGCTAGAGTTGCTGAGAAATCTGAAGAGCAAATCAGGATTAACTTTCAGGTTAGTAATGGCGGAGAATGACTTATGGGAAAATAAACTTAGCGTGTGAAATGGGAATTTTTGTGGTTCTGTACTGGAGTTCTTGCAAACAGAGTTGTAAATCCCAGCAAAGGGGAATTTTAGAGAACCACAGAAATGACCTTGGAGAGGAAAGGTAGAGAAATATGAATTAAGTCTGGGATTGGAAGACGTTAAAGAAAAACCTCCTTTGATTCTCTTTGGTATAAGACAACGTTTCCCAGCCTTCCACCATTTTAAGATGGGTGGACTTCAACCAGGGGTGGGTTTCTACCGGTTCTGTCCACCTCTGTAGAACCGGTAGCTCTGAAGAGCAGCAGACATAGAACCGGTTCTATGTCTGCTGATGTTTTTGCCCACCTGCCCACCTGGGCTCTTACCTGATCTTTATTTCCTGATTGAATGAGGCACAGCTGCAGTTAAAAAAACAAGAAAAGAGGGCTGTTTCAAAGGCTGCTTCTTGGCAGGCAGCCTGCTAATGACGATTAACAAGGCGCGTGGCTCACAGCTGCCAGGGAAGCTCGTAAATCCCGAACCGGTAGTTAACCCTGTTGTATCCCACCCCTGACTTCAACTCCAATAATGCCCCAGCAATGCTGGCTGGGGCATTCTGGGAGTTGAAGTCCACACATCTTAAAAAGACTAAGGTTGGGAAGCACTGGTATGAGAAAAAAAGAAATCACGGTGAGGCTTTTAAGAAGAATGCCAGCCCTTTGAGGTAGACTAAATTGGGAAACCAACCCCATTAGAAACACTGCAACTCCACTTTACGAAAATGGCTGATAATAACAGACTTTTGAAAGCTTCCCACAATTCCCCTCTCTCCCTCTATAAAACCAAATTTCTCGCTGGTGCTTTTGGTTTTTCTAGGCTTAATTCATGTTTTGTTACCAGCTTCTACATTCTTTGTCAAGGTCATCTCTGATAGTTTACAGGAATGCAGGTCTAGCCATCTCTCCTTCTACTTCCCTTGTGTAAGCCAGTATGTTTAAATAGCTACTGTGAACGCATGTATTCTGCCTAGGGGAATATGCTTTAATCATTTAAACTCACTTTTCTCTTTGCTTGTGTGCACAAGACAAAGCAAGTTTTGTCAGATGGCTGCAATTCTCCATGCCTGTGGGAATTTAGGCTTAGTCATCTGTCAAAACTTGCTATCCTTTTGCTGTGTAAATGGGCCGGTCAAAAGGAAGGAATTCTATAGCCTATATTCCCCTGCTTTGCTTGCACAAGCCACCAGATTATGAATTTGGTCTCAATTTTAATTGTTTGGAAATATATGATGGCTATGAAAACAGCAAATGAAGGTAAAAGCCAAAACAACAAGGATTTATATTTTTGAAAAGAAATATTTAATTCTTTTTTTTTTTGAAATGTTGCTTTGTACATACACAGTTCATCAGGAAATCTTTCATCTTAAAGAAAATGAAAATAAATAAATATATGAGGCTAAGAATGAGGCCAAGAATGAAAAAAGAAGATTAAAAATCTGCCTTACATTTTTTACTGGTTAGGAGTCACTGGCTCACTAATGAATTCAGTACTATAATATGAACAATACAAAATATTATTCAAAGTTATCCCAACATTCCTGCAATAATAACATGTATTGCTGTGTCTTTTGACTAGTACAAAATGTTGCCCTTTCCAAAACAGACAAAAATTACACATACTATGTTATCTGAAATGATATAATATGGCATTCAGAATAATCCCAAAGGGGCTTTTTGCAAGGGGCAACTGGACTTCCTGGTTTTTCTTTGAAGACGTTTTGCTTATCATCCAAGAAGCTTCTTCAGCTCTGAAGAAGCCTCTTGGATGAGAAGCAAAATGTCTTCAGTGAAAAACCAGAGAGGCCAGTTGCCTCTTGAAAAAAGCACCTTTGGGACAACGATGACCTGGATGACTGAGATTCTCCACAGACGCTCAGAATAATATAACTTTTCCAATGTCTGAATATTCTTTTAGGCACTGCCCCATGTCCAATGCAGCCATAATTCTGGTACAAACAGTCAAATAATATTATTAAAAATATTAAGAAGAGCAATGGGTCTAGAGTACAGTTACAGTTATCTCACATTAAGATGTCCTCTGGCGAGTTGGCACCGGTGGGTTGCCCATGGCAAACTGGCATAGACTCTCTTTCTCTTCTGTTTTGCTACTTAGTTTTGTTTGGTGTTCCTGGTCCATTTTTTCTCACTGCAAATGTAGCTTCATTGTTAACATTTCTGTTTACTTCTTTTAATTTTAATTGTCTTGTAGTACTTTTTAAAAACTTGTTATCTTATGGTAAGCTGCTCAGACTCGCTGCATCAGTGCAACGGGTACCATAAAATTTAACTAACCAACCATCAGCCAGCCAGCCAGCCAGCCAGCTAACTAACATACTTCTGCTTCTCTTTAAGGAAAGAACAACAGCCAGAATCATCTCCAAGGTCTGTATATTTTACTGAAGTCCATCTTTTATGCCCTCCCATTTCACTCTCTCTTTATGTCTGTGTTCCCGTTCTCTTTATGTCACGTGTGTGATGGGTCCTAGCAACAAGGAGAGCCATTCAAACAAACACCATAAATGTTCAACACACTCGCATCCCGTGCTATGAAACCATGTCCACAGGGTTTCTCTGTCCAATTCACCGCAGCCAGATCATCACTGCCAACTCACATCTGCCAAGTTCCTGCAGGACAACTCCACATGGCCAGCTCACTACGAAGCATCTCCTCGTGGGCAGTCAGAATGCAGAGTGTGTTGCAGTAAGTGGTGGAGAGGTGGCAGTGGCCGGGGGCTTCCCATTTTCACACACGGCACTGTTGTTGCCGCTGCTGTGCTAGGTGCAGAGCCGCTGCCAATCACCAGTGTGGTGCATGTGAAAATGGGAAGACCCCATATGCTGCCACTCACCCCAATGCGCTCTGTTCACCCATTCACTTGCCCGCCTGCAGCAAGCTGTCACCACAGCAAAGTTGGCTGCCTGGAGTTGTCTCGTGGAGACTTGGTGGTGGTGAATTGACAGAGGTGAGTTGACGGTGCTGAGCTGGCCATGCCAAATTGTCCCATTCCGGTGTTGTCCACATGCCTTGTATGGACAACCTGTAAACAGTGAGCCTTTGATCCTCCTTTTCTGCCTTTCCCGTGACTTTTAGCAGGTGGGAGTTCTAGAGCAGATACGGCAGCAGCCTCCAGATTACTGCTGAGATGTGGCACTGTCCTATCAAAAATGGAAAAGAAGATGGAAGATCCATGTCTTGCAGGAAAGCTGGCATAACAGGTCTCAATTCTCTAAATTGAGAAGTTAAACCAGGCTTCCCAAGTTGTTCTGACCTAGGTTTCCCCAAAAAGCACTAAGCAGACTCTTTGTCCTGGCAAAACCCCTTTTATTAAACGAAGATGAATTTCTTGCAATCATTTTCAGCCTGGCAGACAGTCTTTCAAGGGTGTAATTAGGAGCACAGACCTTATATAGCTTGGAGAACTGCCAAGTAAATATTTCCAACCGCAGTGCTGACAAGGAAGGGCTCAGCACAGAGTCTCTGAGATGCACAGACAGATCTTCACACTGCTGCAATGAACGAATTGTTTCCTGCAAAAGCCCCCTCCCCTTTTGCTCCTTTTTAAATCCCTATGGGAGGGGCTATTCACCATCCACCTGTGGCCTTACTCCCACGTCGACCCTTTATTCATAATTGCTCTTTTCTTTCGGCAGCTCTGCGCATGTGCAGGCTGGGAACCAGCAACAGCTGCTCCCCCGCCTCAAGGCAGCTGATGACTGCCAGACTGCCCTGGCCCCATCTCTGCCTCTGACGCAGAGCCCTTGTCCGAGCCTTCCTCAGCCTCCAGGACTGGCCCATGTTCCTCCCCAACCTCCTCACTGTCTGACTCTGCTGCCAGCTCTGCTGGTCGCCGGCGGGCCACAACACAAGTTGTGGCATTCCAAATGTGTTGGGTTGAGCCCTATCAGTCTTCAGCTCATAATCATGGTGACTGAAGCATGATGGGAGTTGTAGTTCCGATCACGGGGAGAACACCAGGCTGGGAAAGGCGATTCTGAAGCGACAACGAAGCGGTGATCATTTCCCCTAATCCTCTCTTCCCTCACCTGTATCTCAGCCTTTCTTTTGGTCCCAACAGCAGTGAAAGAAAGGACGTTCATGTACGCACCAACATTTGTCACACATCTCTGCTTTTGAGCAAAAATAATAATTCTTTCTTGAAAGCCAGAGGAGTTGCTCTCTGGCTGCATCAGTTCCTTGCAAACTTGGTTCGAAGCACGTAGTTCCCCTGACTATCTGCCTTCTGCATTGGATGATGGTTTGCAGAGTGTTGAAAATCAGGCTGCAGGTTTAGTTCAAGCTAAAGCCCTAAATATTTCCAGGATGCAGCTTTGGTGATAGAACTAAACCTAGTTCCAGCCATGCCTTCGTGTGAATCTATGGTAGCGTGCGGTGGAACTACAGCAGTTCAACTATTTCAAATGTAGGCCAAACAAAATGGCAGACGTCAGGCCTCTGGCAAGGGGACACTCTGGGCATTCACTCGGACAGCAAGTGGAATGAAGGATCAGTGGGTATAAACCAACGTTTTCCAAACTTGGCAACTTTAAGAGATGAGGACTTCAACTCACGCTGGCTGGGGAATGCTGGGAGTTGAAGTCCGCACCTCTTAAAGCTGCCCAGTTTGGAAAACATTGGATCGATCCATACTGTAAATGGATAAGTGGGAGACAGAAAACCAGAGAAGAGAAAGGGAGAAACAAAGAGAAAAATTCATCTGATTTCACTCAACATTCTTAGGATATGATCCCTTTTACACAATATTTTTTCACCAAGGTTATCCAAGGAACCCTTGATTTTTTTAAAAAAAGATTTAGTTCCATATCTTGTTGTAAAGTTTACCAGTTTGTCTGAAATTCTTATCTTACTTTTTTTTTATGGGTGAGGCCGAAGAAGGTGACGTCCAAAAGATATCTTAGACAGCTTCATGGTAGAGTGAGGATGTGAAACTTGGATGTCCTTAACTTTAGCCACTATATCTTGCTGCCTTTCT